CATTTTCCTTCCCTGTATCGAATCAGTTGATTCAACCTCCGTAAGCTGTCATCAGGTTATCCACCATTAGTCACTAGCACTGTTCAACGGCGCTTATCAGCCAGCAGGGAATACGCGGTCAAATTCTTTCGAACGTTTTAATTTTTACTTATATTCTACTAATATTACCACATATACACCGAAATCTGCTTTTGACTTATACGCGTCTCTCGGAATACCAAATAATTCAACAGACGCCGTGTACTTCCCTCTGATTAAACCGGTATTACTCTCAGGGGAATTAGGCGTAAACAGTACCAACCTCGAGAAATGTTAATTGAAATTCCCAAATGTATTTCTGATTACAAAGATTTAAATAGGGTTGTACTATTGCTTATCTTGTAGAATCATTTAGTTCATACCAGGATGAATGAGCCCCTTTCCCTTCACTCGAAAAACGTGTAAAATTTGCCAATTAAGTAGCATTCATTTGATGACAAATAACATTTTACCTCAATTTTATATTTAAACAAAATGGACATGTTTTTAGAGAAGTTCTTAAATATCGGGGGTTTAAGATCGTACAGCATCCTATGTGTCCATCTATTAGGACTGGTTATGAGGTAAACAACATGGACTGTATTCATGACGAAGTCTTTTGGGCTTTATATGGGAACTTTTTTTTACAAACGCACAGCATATAGGTTGGAAAACTTATGCGCAAGAGTAACTGCAGATCAAGTTAAAATTTATTCGGGAATCGAACATGTTTTAAAACTGGAAGAGGTCATTAACTGACAAATGACTACAAGAAGGAATAGCTTCATCCATTTTTTCTAGAAAAATACCTTTGTATTTATGAGGGCATCAAAAATATGTGCGAAAATGCATACTACTAAAGTAGTCACCTTTACCGACTGTACTGTTTGCCGGATGGCTCATTCATAAGTCGGCATTTTGGCTTGAAATAAGGTTGCATGATAATAAATATTCAGAAGCATTCTGAATTATTTCCGCATGAAAACAAGTTTTATCATTTTAGTTAACATTTCATGTGTATCATGAGAAAAATGTGTAAAAACTGAGATCTGACTCGACATGTTCTAATGCCCAGATTTACTGCATACTGTAGATGATTTATCGTATAAAACGTTTAACGAAATGCTGAAATGTAATTTCGATTAGAAAATATTACTTAGACGGCGTTTTAATATGGGTGACCATGCAAAATCCTTTAGGTGCGCATCGTGCCCGTCGCCTGCGAAGTAACAACTGACTTCAGCGGTATGGGTTATTTTGATTGATATCCAATGACCTCGTCAGTCCAAGCATAGTTTATAGAAGGTAAGCAGAAAAATATTCTTCCTTGAACTCATTTAGTTAAAAGTAATATGTTTATCAAATTTTAATTAAGATTATTGGTAATCGCGGAGGGGTTCTTCAAATAGCATTTTGTGTATCTGTTTAATAATGCTCTTTATGAAGTATAAAAGATTTTGCCTGTAGTTTAAAACCCTAAACGCAAATGCAACGTAAGATCGGATTCAAAATTATAGAGTAATTGCGTACTTTGCTTAAAAGGAGAAGAGACTCCTTCGTCGAGTCCGTGATTGTTAACTGAAATACTGAGGATTACTTGAGTGTGATTATATTATTTAGTAGCGTGCGGCATAATGGCATGACATCTTTCAGATATTATGTGCTACTACACAAGTAAAAAAATGTTTTGGTATATGTTTCCTATAAAATATTTTCTGAATTTAGAAGTGCTCCGAAACGCAATATAAAAATCATATTAACCAAGAAGTTATCTTTCACAGAGTGCTGCTTTCGAAGATGCCCAAAAAGAACACCCATTCAGAAGTCAACATCTTAGCGTGTCTGAAGAATATCGTGGGATCATGCCTAATGGTAACAGATGTTGCAACCAGATTCAAGTCATCCTTCTTAACCGAAAACGTAGTCCAGGATTTCGACTAACATTTTAAAAGATTGATCACTGGCTGTACAAGTACCTTCTAGAAAATATGCGTGAGTTTTATAACATTATCGAAAATTAGTAGCAAAATTCCACATTGCTCAAATAGCCAATGGTACTGAGTGTGATTGCTGTGAGGCCAGGCGCAAGCGCCATCAAAATGCGATTGAAAGATAGGCGATATTACAATCTTTTTGACCGAAATAGCCTTTGTAATTTCGATTAGCGTTTCATCAGATATATCCCTTACTGCATATCCTAATTTTAACTATAAATGGAGTTTAGCTCGCTGCAGCACGGTGATGGGATTGGCATTTTGATAAGTTTTATGAAATCGAAATAAAAGTGCATGTTTGCTCGTCCGGAGTGAGCATCAGACACGGCATACCGTTTCACCTATCATCCAGAAAGTCAGAAGCGTGACTAACTATGGTGAAAGTGAATGAGATGAAATTCTAAAATTGACTGACTGGCTCTGCAAGGGAAATTCGGTAAAAGATGAATAAACTAGGACGAAAATTGGTTTGGTTCTGCGCTCGCCCTTTTAATTAGCTTAACCCTCCGAAGCCTAAGAACACGCAAGAGAAAAAAACCTACCTGACTGGGTTTTGCGGTGACGTCCATAGGTGACTTGCAGAGCGCATAACCCTGACTCACCACCAAAGTGACGCTGGAATCAACCGAAATGGACTGAAAGAGAGACACAATCTCATCATGTGAGAAGCCCAACACGTTGACGCCATTCACGGAGACGAGGACATCGCCAACGGTAAGAACTCCATTGACGGCTGCGGGACCCCCAGAAATTATATTCTTGATCTGTTAATTACAAAGCAAATATTACGTTTACCAAATTTAAAAATCTAGAGGCAACTTTAGTAGATGAGAATTTATGTATCGATAAAACGTAACTAGCATGTCTACCCAAAGCAACACGTACAATTCCATAAAAGAATACCGTGCAAAGTTTCAAAGCAAAATCACTGTCTTAAGACACCCCCAGTGGCAATCTTTCATAAATGTCCTTCATAGACTTTCCATGAGGGTATTCAACTCACGGATTTTTGGGTTACTTTGACAACAGGCTTTTAACGGCTAATGAGGTTTAAGAAATTCGGCCTCTTGAGGTGGATAGATAAAGATGCAATAAAAAGACTGATTGGCAAAGGAGACAACATCCGCCAGGATTGGATTAAAATGAGAACGTAGGAATAGGAAAAAAAGTGTCCCCAATGAAATAAGAACATTTGACTGGCATTTCCGATTTATTTGCCACCATCAGCCAGTGATGATGAGCCGAAAACTCGCCGCTTATTCAATAATAACAGTGGAGCCGTTGCTGCCAACGATGGCCACTGGTGAATTACACGTGAATTTGCCTATAATGATAGTAGACTTTTGCTGCATCAATTGCATTCTCCCCCCTCCCTCACTCACCTGGAAACAGTGTTATGATAGTCAAGAAGGCCGGCAGCTGGATCAGAAGCAGATGGTCGGCAGGGTTTGAACCCGCGCCTAGGCGTGCCACCACATCCTTTGGTCCGCACACAAAGGGCCTGGATTTTCGACTAACAAGAAATTGGTGACTCGGATCCC